GGCCAATTTATTTTCACAAGTAAGATTGTAAAACTGTTGTCAATTGGTGGAATATCAATTAAATACAAACATAACAGTCGTCACAGTGGGTATAGGCATTAGTTATAGTGGAAATATGTGTGTTGATCTCAGGAGGGCTACAAGACACAATGAAGTACGATAAGTCTCATCTCAAGCAGTGTTTTAGTACCAGATCTTATTAGCCATAACAGAACATGATTATTATTAGTAATGTACCCACATACTATTTTTCTCCTCACCTTTCCTAATATAATTCTTATAATCTTATTTCTTTGCTTTCTGCTTTAAGTGCTGTATGTTGTTCTCATACAGGTAATTCCAGGGATAGGATGTCAAGAGCCTCTTACACTTTGAGATTAGGCAATCTTGGCATTTTCCATGATTATAAGATGAATATGTAACTAGTGAACTGCATCTATGGATTAGCAGTTTCTTCAAAACTTTAAAAGGCAATAAAAGAGACCAAAAGAAAAGTATAGAGAATAGGACACAACAACCGAGGTGATTAAAGGGCTGAACTGAATATGATTTATGCTAGAAGTTGGTCCCAAATTATCAGTGACAACAAATCAGAGGAAATATCTGAATTAATTAAACTAATATATTGAATAGGTGTTTGCTAGCATACCAATCCTGTTATCCTTGACTCTTCCAACAGTTCCTTTGTAATCATATCCAGTATGTGCCTGTTGTCTTTCAAAGCATTTATTGCAAGCTCTTCTGTCTCTTCAATGTACTGCATGAACACCAAGAATCATAATTTCATTCGAAGTTAAAAGGTCAGAAAAATTAAACATGTATTTCATCTTTATACTTAAAAGGAAAAGAAAAACCATTTCATTGCCTGTTTAACAAACAAAAATTGTGTAAGACACTCACAGATACCATAGAGGCCTGCACCTCTTTTGCTGTTATTTTCTTCAACCATCTATGAAAATGTGGACCAATACCAAACACAGGAAAGCGAAAATTTAACTAAGGTATAGAACATCTATTTTGAAGTGAAACCAATTTGCTGGTAAAACTAGGCTTTTTTGCTACTAAGGTAGCAAAATGCAATTTTTTATGTTAAGAATTTAATAATATGAAAGTTGGTTTTTATATGTCACAACTCCATCTTCTTTCACATCAATTTCAAACAGGTCATCAGGTACTTAAATGATTAAAGGACAGAGGAAGTTACTATTGGTCCAATGGGAATATCACAGCAGCAAAATTATTTTGCAAATTCAACCTAGTTTCAGCAGGGACATTCTTTCTTCCTCTTTAGGCGTGCATTTGTGTGTGTGTATATAGATAATATGTATGTACGGCTATGGCTCAATTCAAGTCAAATAGCTTGCTCAGTGCTTCAGACTACTCCATGGCACTTAAACAGATGAATACATACACAAATGCAGTATATAATTATGAGGTTGCTGTCACATGCTCATCTCTGTGCATGCATATGACAAAACCAATTGATCTTACGGTGAGGAATCTTTTTTGGCTGCAAAGTAGTAAAATCTAAGACTACCATGGAGGATAATATCAGGTCTGTTAACTAACTAAATATTTAAGAAAAGCTATTAAAAACTTCTCTTCTTTGTATGGCTCAAATAAAAAGATGTTTTCACCATATTTTTTTATTCATAGATGGAAATCAGATTATAAAGAAACAGATATTTGTACCTTCTATGCAGGTAGTAGCACCTATTACTGTAGACTCTACTTTGTCACAACAGCATAAAACAGTCATACAAGATAGAGCAAGCTAAACTTACCCTTGTCAACTCTCGAGTAAATAGCTCAGATACTTCAAGCGTCATATTGGCAGGAATTACATGAGGGTCATCCCACTAAAATAATAAAGGAAAAGGACAACAATAATTACTTTAGAAAAATTAGGAAAACTTATTCAAAATTTTTTTATTCAAATTTGCAACTTGGAAGTCATACCCTATATTTTATTAATTCACCCTCTGGGCTATCTGGTCGATCCAACAGTCCCACTCTTTTTGTTAGTTGCGTAAGCCCTAGCCTTGCGTTTTGTGGACTGATCACCATTTCCCTTGCAATCTGAAGAGACGCATTGAGTGAGGAAAACAAGAGTTGAAGGGCATTTTTTTCTTATTACAAACAAAGATATAGACCATTGTAAAATTAAGATAATCTGAAATGCATTTAGTTTAGATACTTCCAACCCAAAAAAAGAGAAATATGATGCTAAAATAATGTGCACCTAGAAATACGAATCAAGACATTTGTAATTATATGAAACCAAAAGACAAACATGGTTGGTTGAAACATGGCATTTTTAATCTTTCCTTTATTTTTCCTTCACTATTTAGTACTAAAGGCATTTCTAATATGTTCACTTATATTATTTAAACTTTTTTTGGCAAGTAGGAAATGAGGAGATAGGAAATAGGAGATAGGAGATAGGAGATAAGAGAGAGAAGAGCTATAGTGAGAGAGAAGAAAAGAAAATGAGGAAATATATATAAGAAAAATGGAGAATAATGATGTTAAAACTAAAAACATTAGGTTAAAGGTAAAAAACGTAAAAACATGATCAGAAGCATTATTAATACTTATTTTTCTTATTTTTCCTTATATTCCCTTTTCATTCCTCCTTTATTGTTTCTTTTCTTTTTTCTTTTTAATTATTTAAAAAAAGTTTATGATTTGTAATAAATTGAAAAGAAAAAAAAAGACTAAAAATTGATTTGATTAATCAATTCGTGTTTATTTTTTTTATTTTTCTTCACAAAAATTAGAACTTCTACCCATAGCATAGAGAAAATAAAGAAATGTTTATCTGTCTTACTAAAAGTAATTTTACACCCACTGCAACATGTGTGCCCTTTACTAGTATGATGCTACAAAGGTGCGTCTAGAAATACGAATCAAGACACTCTCATTAAAAGCTCTGCTGATACTTCATAGAAATGATTTCCAGGAGGCTAAAACAAAGTGAAAATTGTACTCTTATTATCTAAAGGTGATGTGCAAAAATGTAAAATGCCATGAGGCTAAAAATGTGCTAGGGCCATAAAAAAAAAAAGACTGAAAGCAATCAGACATTCTCTACATTGTTCTTAACAGAAGAATACATGCCTGTTCTTGTTCAATGTGATCTAGTTCTTTCTTAGGGCAGTCTTGAGTACTGCCTGTGGACCAATGTTCATGCAACTAGACAAGCTTCTAACAAGATTTTAACAAAATAAGCTATGAATAGTATTGGTGCTAAAATATGAGAAAAACATATTCAGAAAAGAATTAGAGCATGAAATCTCCATTTGCTCCATTTCCATAACACTCTCTCATTACAGTGCATGGTGGAAAGGTAAACTTGAACATGAACCTTAGATATCAGTTATTGGTCTATTTGAGCTCTTAGGCAACAATATGGCAGCACGTATCTTAAAGTGAAGCAGTGCAAGAGAAACAATATGAAGCCATATTAACAATTACTGTGTTTGAAAATCCTGTTTAACTTCTGAAAACATTTCAGAAATTTCTGCAAACAGTCTTTTTTTCCGATTCCTTCTGAAATAAACCAAATAAGTGATGACAACATTCTCAAACCAATGCTTTTCACAAAAAACATTCTCAAACCAAATCATTAAATGCCAAAAGTTCCTCAAGGTTTCACAGAGTACAGTAGCATGCTAGGGGTGTGGACAGACTAACTGGACAAGAGTTATATTTCTTAATTTTCCTCTAAGTAAGCAATTTATTTAAATTATGGTATCAAAAAGTAACTGCAATCACCTTTGTTATCCTTTCCAGATCATCCCTTCCACCATCACTTAAGTCATCACCAAACACAAGAAGTTCAGCGCAACGTCCACCATGAGCTACCACCATTTGCATTTTCATGTAGCCAAATGTTGTATAACCTTGGTCTACCATGTCTTCACGGGGGTAGAATACAGATATTGCAGTTTCCTACTCATGTTGGGATTAATAAAAGCGAAAATAATGATAAATGGAAAATACAAATGGTAAAGACCATTAGAAAATATCAAATAGGAACCAATTGCTCGTATCAGACATGTACCTTGCCACCAGGCAGGAGCTGAGAAAATGCATGCCAATCAAATCGCGGAAACAAGTGAGCTAAAACAATGTGACCAGCTTCATGAACAGCCAGAAGTCTCTTCTTTTCAAAAGATACCTATATTAAATCAACTCAAAAAGTCAAAAAAAAAAAAAAGCTACAGACTCTTTAGTCTGTAATGTCAGCTTCCTTTTGTTCTCAAATGCCCAATAAAAAATGGTAGAAATACCTAAAAGGACAATATTAGTTATTCCACATGCTTCTATTACTCTCCACCAAAGGAATATCCTAAGAAGAATTTTGATGAAGTTTAATTTTTTTTTTTCATTTTACTGCTGCATACCTCTAGAGCTATGCAGCATTAGGCTTCTAGGAGAAGATTTCTCCTGAAATTTCATACCTACTAACCATCTACATGTAGATGCAACTTTAGAATGGAAGATATAAAATTCATACTTCTTAAAGTTTGTGGCCCACTACAATTTACAACAACGAAATTTCATATTCAGTCTGATAGCACCATTTGAGAATGATAACACTTACACTTGCTTCACATTTCTGTTGCTCTTCCTCCGTAAGGAGTACACCCATACCTTCAAGCAATTGTTTGTCTAACACATCAATAATATCTTGCTGGAAGATCTTGGAATGTCCTTTTCTCACCTGCGGTAAGATATGTCCTTAAATGTAACAGAAACTCAAGAGCTTAAGAAAACCACTCAACAAAAAACTTCTGCTGAAAATGCATGAGAAACCACCACAGTTTAGTCCAACGTTTTTCAAACAAGCTTGAGGGCTAGGAAGCATGGACATAGACACATGACAATGACACGATATGACATGAACACAGCTACACAAATTTGGACTTGGACACGGTCACTGACACGATATGCCACATATAAATATTTTTCTCTGTGTGTGTATTATTTAAAATTTTACTATTAGTTTGACAAAAAAGGGAAAAAAATATACAGTAATGTTTTTTTGTAGAAATAATATACATAATTGAGAATGTCTTTGTCAACCAATTCTTAAGGTAAATTTACTATCATGCACCATTTGCCATTGGGTTGATAATCTTCAAATATATCCAACCCAATTGCTTTATTCATTAAGTCTCTAGCCCAATACACTTGAAATCTTTTAACCAAAAGCTCAGTTGATCTAAAACTTTCAAAACCTAGTACCTACCGTTTAAACTTATTATTTCTTTCACAACACCTGACACAAGCTGCAACTCAACAACATGGCATCAGCTTCTACTCCCTTATTGCATCATCTATATTGTTTTCACCTCTAATCTGAACCTCAGCTACAACAATGTGACACTTGAGGCAAAACCAAGGCATGATTAAACAGTTGTTGCAATTTCTCTCTTCTCTTCTGTCTCTTGTAGTAAATATGGTGGCAACAAGTATTTGTTGCTTCACTAGCACATCCATCGCATGCCTGTTGTGCATTTGTCTCATGTCAAAAATAATAATTTTGGCATCTGTGGCAGTAAGTATCTGACATGTATCCAGCCATGTCATACATTTAACCATATTTGACATGGATATGTGCATAGAGCCATGCAATGCTTCATAACTTCAGATACAGACAAACTAGAAAAACCTAGATTACCAAACTTACCTATTCCAGTGTCCAGGTTTATGATTCACATGATTCAAACAACATTGATATTAAAGACTATGATTAGACCTGGCAATTCGTGTTTTCATGTTTTAAATGTGTCAGACATGATTAGACACGAAACACGTTAAAGTTAAACACGAGCACAACATGAATAATATTCATGTCTTAAATTTGAAACACGTAGATATATACGTTTAATAATCGTACAACAAGACAAAACACGATTAACACGTTTATTAAACGTGCCAACATAAGACACGACACGATTAATAACACGATTAACACGTTTAACACGATTAAATAAAAATAATTACAATTAAATATAATTTTATTATTTAATTTAAAATCAATAATTATAAAAACAATTATAATGAAACAAAATAATAATAACATTAAATATAATAAAATTTAACATAAATAAAACACATAAAATTCATTATCATATAAAATGATAATATCCATCATTAACATCTAACCTTAAAATACTAATAATATCTAAAATGATCCAAAATGATAACAAAGCAAAATTTCAAAATTAGGGTTTCGGCATGGCATAATTACATTACTAATAAAAATTTCTAGGCAACTACAGAGACTGGACAGGTTAAACATAATCCGCTGAAATAGCATTTCTTTTTTGTCATAAACATTGAAAGGATGGGGACTGTTGGTTTGGAAAGAATCTATGTTTTCTAAATGGTTTATATTTGGAGTTGGTTGAACAGTGAAAACTGGAAAGACAACAGATCACTTAGAGGAGGTTACGAAAAAAGTTAATTTCTCATTTATGTTGCACACAAGGATGATAATAGGCACCGATAGTAACACAACCAGTATGACATGCTTAACAGTTAAGTATCTACTGACATGAAAATAGCTATATCTCATAGAGAGCTGCCATGATGGCTTGAAGCATACCTGAGATGAGACTAAAATGTAGACTTCATCTGAACCATATAAGAATGCATTTATTATTGGATATAAGACCAATGAATACTTACTGACATTATTGCTGCTTCATTAACAAGATTTCGAATATCTGCCCCAGAAAAACCAACTGTGCGAAACACAAGCTGTAGCATTGGATAAGAGGAGACAACAGTTAGCCCAAAACCCAATTTCATCCATTCAAACTCAAACAGTTAGTGTGTCTATCAGAAACCAGAAGAAAATTCATGTCATATTGTGCATGTCACTGCATCAAAAAGGGCTGCAATCAAGTTCTGTAAGGAAACAGCTCTAATCCTACATTTAAAACTCACATTCCTCTTTTTTTCTCATTATATCCTGAAATACCATTTGCACATTGACAGCTAACACATTTTCTCTCCTCCTTCTTACATGTATTTTAAAATGTTGATTACTTAAAATTATTTGTCTATTTAATCCTTATTACCAGTGTGTGGGTTGTGCAAATGGCTAGGCACCTAATAATGGGGTTCGTTTCAAGACAAATAATGTAAAACAAGAAGACAGCACCACATAATTACTTAAAATTAGTCACCAATTCCTTTCGTGAGCAGCTGAAAATCAGTAACCAAGGTCCATCAGACAAAGATCATTTACACTGTGATTATTGTGGAAAACCAAGGCATACTAAGGAGACTTGTTGAAAGCTGAATGGTTGATCAACTAGGGGTCGTGGAGGTAAATAGATGGGCTCAACAAGACCACAAGCAAACCTTTCCGAAACAATAGAAATACAGTCTTTCCAATGAAGTTCAAACCCTAAGGCGTCTTTTGTCTCAGCTTGATTCTCAATCGACCACAATTGCTTCCAATTTTGTCAGAACAGGTACTCCTTTTCTTGTCTAGATTCTGAAGCAAACAAACATATGACAGGCTCTTCCAATAAATTCTCAACTTATTCTCCGTGTTTAGACAATAATAAAGTCCATATAGCAGATGGATCTTTAGCCTCTATATTTGGAACAGGTTCTGGTAAATGTACTCCCACGATTAATTTATCTTCAGTCTGTCATGTTCCTAGATTTCCTATTAACCTTTTATTTGTTAGTTCAATTACAAAAGAGTTTGATTGAAAATTTGAATTCATTTCTACTCATGGTGTTTTTCAGGACCCAAAAACAAGGAGAACGATTGGCTTAGGTAGACTGCAAGATGGCTTGAATTTAGTAGAGGAAGGTTGCAGTACCTTGATTTCTAGTATAACCGTAGCCCTGTAAGAGAATCTATGAATGTTAATGACACTGGAACATTGTGAAGAAACCTAGCATTGAGAAGACACCAATCATCGTGAGGTTGAAAACCCTACTACGGTGAATCACTAATCTTGACAAGGTTAGAAAACCACACTAAAGTGAAGAATAGCCAAAATCCCACTTTGGTTGGCCAAGCCAAAGATACTAGAACCTCTTGCTCTTTTGAAAAGAGTCCAGAGAATAAGCACTCTTGCTTAAAAAATATTCTTTATTAATTCTCAACTTAAATGAGAATAATAACTAAGCCTAAAGGTCCTATTTGTAGTATTATAGGCCCACATCCTAATAAAGCTCTACTTCAAGTTGTCTAATACAACTAGAGTAGTTAACAAGAGATTTAAATAAAATAGGTGTTCAATTTCTAAATTAAACATGACTAGCCTAAAATCCTAGTACAAGTAAATTAAATAAAAAGGAAAATTCTAGCATACCTATAATTCGTAAATAATAATAATAATCTAATAATATACTCCTGTATCAGTTAATCAAGAAATAATCCAATGTTATAGATGATTAAGACACCCCTCTTTTTCTGTTTTAGAAAGATTATATCCTAGTTTGTTTAAACAATGCAAGTTGGATTTGTTATTTGGTGATGCTTGTGAATTTGCTTAACACACTAGACATTCTTATCCTTCAATTAATAATAAGAGTTCAGTTCCTTTTACGACTATTCATTCCAATGTATAGGGACCTAGCAGAACATTTTCTCTATCCAATTATAGATGGTTTGTTAACTTTATCGTTTGTTGTACTAGATTAACTTGGATTTATTTCATGAAAGTAAATAATGAGGTTTTTCTTTTTTTGTTTGCAACTATTTCACAAAACGATTTGTACACAATTTGATGCCAAGGTTAAGATTTTGAGAATCAACAATGGAACACAATACATGGATGGTGTGTTTACAATGGGATATTGCACCAAACTAGCTGTGTTAGTGCACAAAATGGAATGTCTGAAAGGAAGAACATGCATTTACTAGAAGTGGTTTCATCTCTCATGTTTACTATGAATGTTCCAAAGGTTTAGTGGGGTGATGCAATACTTTCAGCTGCATACCTTATTAACAGAATGCCCTTAAAAATACTTAATATTAAGAGTCCTTTGGAAGTTCTACAAGGTAGCAATTCATAAACTATTCCTTTAAAAATTTTTGGATGTGTGTTTTGTTCACAAGAGAAATTTAGGTAAGTTAAAACTTGGGGCCCTTAAATGTGTGTTTGTTGGATATTTCGCAACTCAAAAGGGATATAAATGTTTTCCTCCGCCCTCAAGGAAGTACTTTGTGATTATGGATGTTACCTTTAGGGAGTCTGAGCCTTACTTTTGTACACCTCAGTTTAGTCAAAATCCTAGTGATGACAAGGAATAACATAAAGTTGGACGATTGGGTAGACTAGATTTAAAAATCTACACACGATGAGATAAGATAGATAAAGCCATCGAGCATTGAATACCTAGTCAAACGCCATCTTTGAGTTCAGCCCCTGAAAATACATATGGTGAGTCTCCTTTTAACTTTTGATTTCTGTAATTCTAATTCCATTGCTAATGATCTTGATGTTCCTATTGCTATTAGAATGAGTCAAAGCTTGTACTAGACATTCCATCTATAACTTTGTTTCCTATGATTCTGTCTCCTTCCTAAAGAGCCTTTGTATTATCTGTTTCTTCTATTTCTATTACATAGGGTTGGCAAGAAGCATATCATGATCCAAAATGGAAAGAGGCAATGGTTGAAGAGATGAAGGCTTTGGCAAAAAATGAGACTCGGAAACTTGTTACTAACTCATTAGGAAAAAAAACCAATTTGATGCAAATGGGTGCTTATAGTGAAACATAAGACAGATGGTTTAGTCGAGAGGTACAAAACTAGACTGGGGGCAAATAGCTTCACCCAGACCTATCGCATGGACTATCAAGATACTTTTGCTCCTGTTGCGAAAATGAATACTATCAGAACCATGTTATCATCTACAACTAACCTTGATTGGGACCTATAACAATTTGATGTCAAGAATGCCTTCCTACATGACTCGGAGGAAGAGGAGTATATGGAAATTCCTCCAAGATTTGATGATTAGAAGACTAAAGGGAAGGCTTGTAGATTAAAGAAGGCATTATATGGTTTGAAGCAGTCACCTAGGGCATGGTTTTGATAGGTTAAGTAAGGCCATGATTTCATTTGGACATCATCAAAGCAATGCTGATCATACCTTGTATATTAAACACTGTGATGGTAAAATTACATTACTTATTGTTTATGTTGAAGATACAGTTGTGACTAGAGGTGATAAGGAGGAGATTGCCCGACTCTGAAAACTTTTAGCTTAAGAGTTTGAGACTGTTATAGAATAGGAATGTGTAAATATTCTTTTATTAATAAATGTAATTATAGGGATTGGGAATCACCATAATTATGGGGATTGGGATTCACCATAATTATAGGGATTGGGAATCATCATAGTTGTAAGAATTTTATTTTCTTTATTTTCTTTATTCTTTTCCTATTTTAGAGATGTATAGGCTGTATATATAGGTGATGTATTATGAATGAAAAGTGTAGAGTTTTCTCTTCCTAAATAACATGGTATCAGAGCAGTTTTGGCAGATTTGTTTCCTTTAAAACAGAGTTCTTAGTTTCTCTTTTACACCTAAACCTAGGTCACTTATTTAGGGTAACAATCTTATCCCGCAGCCGGCACTAGGAGGAGACTCACCTGCTGATCGGCTTCTTCCGAGAACCTTGCCACTAGAGTCCCCACGAGTGGCTGTCACACACTACCTTTGGTTTCTAGTTCTAGCCGTCTGTTAGAGATTCACTCCGATTTTCTCTTCTAGTCTTTACGCCAGAAAGTTTCAACAAGATAGTTTGGTATTCTTGTTGAGTTTTGTTACTGGGTTTTCAAGATGGAAGAGTCTGTACCAGAGAAAAAATCAATGGTAGTGGCTGATGTGATTCCTGTGATGACAAAGATCATAGAGCATAGACTTAATGGTTCCAATTATTTGGATTGGAGCAAGACAGTTCGGGTCTATTTAAGAAGCATTGAGAAGGATGATCATATTACTAATGATCCTCCAACTGATAATACAAGGTAAACCTGGATGAGAGAAGATGCACAGTTGTTCTTGCAGATTCGAAATTCCATTAATGGTGAGATTATTAGACTCGTTAATCATTGTGAGTTTGTTAAAGAGTTGATGGATTATTTGAATTTTTTATATTCTGGTAAAGGAAATATTTCTCGTATTTATGAGGTATGTAAAACATTTTATCATGCAGAGAAACAAGATAGGTCTTTCACAGCCTATTTTATGGATTTTAAAAAAATTTATGAAAAGCTTAATGCTCTATTGCCTTTTTGTCTTGATGTGAAGGTTCTGTAGGATCAACGAGAGCAAATGGCGGTTATGAGTTTATTTGCAGGTCTCCCTCCAGAGCTTGAGATTATCAAATCTCATATCCTTTCTGATTCTGAGATATCCTCTCTGCATGACACCTTTACGAGAATACTGCGTACAGAAAGCTCTAACTTCACATTGGCGCAGACTAATAACAGTGCTCTTGTAAATCGTCAGAATAATAAGAGTGGTAATAGAGGAGGGGGAACGAGCAATCGTAACCGAGATGTTGATAGTCGTAGTCAAGAGTCAGGAGGAATTGTGTTCTATTATTGTCATGAGCCGGGCCATACAAAGCGTTTTTGTAAGAAACTCCAAAATATGTCTCAGCGAGGCCAATCAGCAAATGTTGCAACTTCTAATACTACATCTTTTGATAAGACTATTGTACTTTCTGCAGATGAATTTGCTCAATTCTCTCAGTATCATGAATCATTAAAATC